AACACATTATACAGTGTGAATAAGAGAGACAGCCCTAAAACACAACAGTGATCTAACATTAAGACATTCCCCCACCAGTGTAAAGATACATACTGTACATGGGCAGAAGAAACACTCAGGGAAAAGGCCATCATGCAAATAGAACATTTTAGAGACATGTCAAATTTTGGCTTATCAGATTCATTTCCGATCTTTGCACAATTGTAGGATCCTAGGATCAGGATCAAGCAGCAGAAAGAACTGGTGAACGTTCTAAAGTAAATGGCAGCATGTCCCTGTTAGTGGAACTATTGTCTATGGAGCAACATTTCACAACAATAAGCAAAGAAGATAAAGCGTGGATGGACAGGAGTTTTCTGAATGGCCCCAAGCAAACAGCAAACATACTCACAAAGTGGTGAAATCCCTGATCTGGAGGCAAAAGAACAAGTTTGGGAAGATCTCATGAGGCGTGGGCGTGTGATGACTTACAAACCTGTCAGAGTAATGGGCCAGAATTCAAGTCAACTATTGTGAAAAGATGCGATACCCACAAAACTGGACCCAAGTCAAAGTCTGTATTTTCTGATTCTGCTTCTGATTTTATAGAAATTAAGATTACATAAAGACAATAGATATGAACAGTGCCGCAGTGAAGCGAGCAGTCAAAACTGGCCCAAGGCACTTGTTACTTTCAAAGAAAAGTTCTATATTGAAAAATGGACAAGACTCAAGGAAATGAAATAATATAAATAAGTTCTGAAACTTAAAACTTGTGTTATGTATTATGTGGACACAGCAAATGTAAACCTCAGTAGGTTCAGTAGGACATGTGCGAGTGCTCTGAAAATATTAAGAATCGGTTTTACACAGCGCTGGTTTGGATACCTAGTCCATCTGTTCATTCACTCCATACATGGTGGTGATAAAGTACTATTGTAGCCACAGCTGCCATGGGGAACACTGACAGAAGCGAGGCAACCAGTCTGTGCCATCGGCCCCTTCGACCACCATCAACCATTCATGGATACTTCATCCACGCATACTGGACCATGTAACTGAAGTGTCTTGCCTCAGGACACAACCCCAGTTTTCACTTTACAGCTGTCCCGCTGGTGTGGTCTCCCATCACAGTACTAACCAGGCCCTGTCCTGCTTAGCTTCAGAGGTCTGACACACATGCAGGTATGATTTGGATTGGAATTTTAATAACTTTATACACACTGTCCCATCCACATAAACACAAGCATCAATAGTGGCTCTAGTGATTACAATCTATTTTTGTACAACTCAAACAACACAACAGCAGTGATCTCAAAAGACTTGATTGATTCGTCAATAAATATTTCATTATTGCTCAAAAATGAAAACTAGATGATCCAATGTTCCCCACAGTGATGCAGAGAACCACTCCCCTGGACGAACAAAAATGAAGCTGAATGCGCAGGTTCAGACTGAAAGACCGAGTGCCTGCCAATCACACAGCTCTGCCAGCCTCCTGCCAACCCTCTCACAGCAAAGCGGGCAGTTTAAAAGGCAGCCACTTCCTGACAAGCAACGCTTTCTGAGGCGTCTTAAACACCCACCACCTCCCCAGCACCCCCTCTGGCTCCTGTTCTGGCTCTGGCTCTAGGCTCTGGCTCTAGGCTCCTGCTCTGGCTCCTGCTCCGCCTACGCCCCATTCACACCATACTCTAGCCACCACCAGTGCTTGACCCCGGGGGATCTGAGATCATCTTCAGCTGCAATCGATCTCATTGCTGCAAGTGTCACTGCCGGGGTCAATGCGCCAAACAAATAAATCATTTTTAATGTATTAATTGTGTCTTTGGTCTCTTCAAATTGAACATTAGATGAGTCCTGGACTGAAGCTCCTCCATTTACAAGTGACGTTGAAAAAAATAGAGTGACTTTCAAAAAATACCTGACACACAATGGCTGCTGTTTTATGGAGTAAACAAATGTGAAGCTAATATGTTACAGACTCATTACAAAGTGACATACTGAATGCCTTTGTTTCAGCGTTGGTGATTATGGCTTACTGTCCATTTAAAAAAATATTTTAATTTCCTGAGTTCCATCTGTAGCATTTTTGCTGCTACTGGACACCTGAATTTCTCCTACGGGTGTCAATATCTATCCATCTATTTGGCTGCATATTGAAAGCATCCTGATAACTGTTCTATTGGCCGTTAACAGCCAGCTAGTGTCCATAAACATTTGGACACATGAGCTAGTGCAGCAACAGGCCTCCTCCTCGTGTGGCTCAGGGCTTCATGGAGGAATACCTCAACTTTCAAAGACATGGAGCAAAATTACATGCTAGAATGTCCTCGTGTTTTTTTGTTCTTTCGCCCCCTTTCGGAGCACTGTAATTTAATCTCTGGAGTGGGTCGGCCTAAAATAAGCCGGCCCTAATATTGACAGAAGTGGGGAGTGCTGGAGGTCTCTCTTGGGTGGTTGTGGTCAGTGCTGAGAGTGTGGTCAGTTAGATTGTTTACCTGCTTACTCCATCCACCAACACTGTGTGGGCAACACTGACCTGAGGCTCTTCACGTTCAGGACATCTGCAGTTAGGACGTCTGTAAAAGAATGGGGGCCTCGCACTTGGCTGCATCATGGTGGAAATGGCTTAAAGTTATGTATATTAGACTTAACAGTGTACAATAACACAATCTAGAAATAAATCTATCTTTCTTTATAAAGTGCTTTTCCTTCTCAGGGCAACACAAATCGCTTGACAGTCCACACCACACAACGCACAAATCATCTCATAAAACAAGCACCAACATCACCATCAAAAACACTATTCAAATCACAAAGGTCATTTAAACCATTAGCATGACCATAAACGACAGACAACAAAACAACCCACTAAAAATCCATACATTCATCTTCTTCCCCTTAATCCATTTCTGGCTCGGGGGGTGGCAGTCAGAGCTGCACCCAGTTCACATAACACCAGCCGCAAACAATCCTGCATCGTACAGTGATAAAAGCAGTGATGAGTTTCAAAAAAACGTTTCCTTTCTTGATCTTTTGGCCCTAAATACGTTATTTGAAGATGATCTGGCAGCGAAGCTCAGACATTTTGGCTCAAATGAAGAGATCATGCACAGTGTAGGATGTGTGAGGTTTATGGAGAGGTCCCAGAGCAGAGGCTCGATACAGAGATATTCCTTCAATCATTTTAGACCAATACTGAGATTTCATAAAATAAGGGTCTTTGAACATCAGAGATTATAAGTGCATAAAAAGCAACATCTTTGTAAAAGCTGTGGTACATAACTTTGTCAGTACATACTACTGTTGCCTTATTAGAAAACTTTAGAAAACGTGTAAGAAAGAACCCCGTGAGGAACTATTTGGGTCAAGATCTGAAAAACCTTTTTCTGTCTGAAAAAGCTGATCTTATTATGTGATGTCAAAGTTACAGGTAAAAGCAAGTGATAGAACCAAACTGTTTTTAGAGACTAGTTACATGAATGTTTTATCGGTGTCCCCAAGATGTATTTGTACTGGCATATCGAGGACCATCCCTAACCTTGTTTTTAATCAGTTTACTATTGTTTGCATCAAGGTGCCACAGTCCGAGCCTGTTCAACACTTCTGTCTCACATTCATTAAATCCTGTCAGACAAAATTGTGGAAAAACACATCAAAATCTGACTTTAATAGTGATATGTCAAGCAGTGTCCCACAAATGTATTTCCATCTGCCTTTTGGGCTATTCCAGCTTTATTTCTGAGTGTGTGAGCTGCACCAGGAAACCACCAGCCCAGGCTGATGGGCATCAAAGCGGCTGCATGAGCTCACTGGTTTCCTTCTGCCAGGTTTGTCCTTCGTCGCCTGCTCCTCTCCAGCTCCGCACTGTTTCCAGCCACATGCAGACCCCAGAGGCACATAGTGAAACAGAACTTTAAACAACGAGGAATAATTTATGTCCACTCCAAATAATATTTTACAGCTCTGTGCTTTGTACACTCACAGTTCGTACCGATCGCAATCTCATTGTTGGCAGACTGTGATTATCCAGATAGACTTTAACAATGTGCTAAAGCAGAGAGTTGCTGGAGGATGGACATGGGTTGTACATCTACTGTACTCACTCATGTGTCAATTTTGTCAATTAAAAAAAAAAATACAGCATTTGTCATAGCAGTAATTATGTTCTATTTTAAAGAAAATCTAATGAAATTGGATTGTGACTGGCCAGCCAAAAAAAAAGGTGATCTTAAGTAAAGATTGGCAAAATAAAAGAGCAAAATGTCAATATCTTGTGGGTAATCGGTGTCTGTGTGCGTGCATGTGCATGTGTGCGTGTGCGTGAATGGTTGGTGGTGGGAGGGGCCAATGGCATCAATAGTATTGGAGCAAAAATGACTCCCGGAGAATCCTCACATTGAGTTAGAAATGATATGAGTGAATCTTGAAAGGGTCTAACAAAAAGGACAGTGGTGATTATCCAGGACACTCAACATTCAACAACATTTATGGACATTTATCAACATCTATGGACATTTATGGACATTTATCAACATTTATGGACATTGGTCTCTGGCACTTATAAACACATTCTGTTTTCTATTTTTTATTTCTTGTGTTTCAACGGTTTGATTCTCTGATCTGTGTTGGGGAATTCAACGGTTCTGTAAAGTCCTCCGAGAGAACTACTGTTGTGATTTAGGGCAATGCATGAATACATTGAATTGAATTGAACCTATTTGATAACAGTAGTAGTGATAAAAGAACATCACTCAAATTATCCACGAATATAAAAATACTTCCTGCTGCAGCTTCAAATTGACTCATGCACAAGTTCTGGTCCTGTTTTCTGACTTGATACATATTTGGTTCAATTCTAACCTGGCTTTTGTGAATAAACTCTAAAGAAGCACAAACCTCCAGTGGACATTCAGTAAATCTAAACTCTGCTTTTCCTCATAAAATCATTTGTATATTCACACACACACACTCCTGGACTCACACAGGCACCACAGGCACCGCACACACTGCTTCTCTTATGGAATATCGTGGGTGGCGCTCAACCGGTAGAGCGCTCTGTAAATAGCTCGGGAGCAACCCCACCATTTGAACGACCCAAATTTCCTTTTCTGAGGTCGGCTGCCCGGGACGCAAGTGCTGCAGTGCGAGCCTCCAGTCGCCACGGGTAACCACAACGGCCACGCTCTCGGCACTTCAGAGCGACCACGCCACAGCACGGGGGGTTCCAGATGTCTCACAATCACCTCCTGCAGGCGGATACGAGACGCAAGGATGCATTCAGCTGTACATACATGCACTTCCTCCTCCGCACATGACCAGGTATCATTACATCTGCACACATACACACACTGTACATACACTACATACATGCGGCTGTAGTCTGCAGTGGGACAGTGGGCTGGACCAGAGGAGGATGTTTGTGTACGGCGCTTTGACTGTAAGCGTTTGTGACACTGGTTTGTGTTTTATATGTATGAGTGTGTGTTTATTGGCTGGGCTGCTCTCCACAGACTGAGAGGTGGAAAAACATGGAGATGGACACAGCCTGTACCACCCAAACCACATATCAGTCTGTAGTTCCATGTGCAGGCCTTCCCACTGCAGGTACTGCGTCACATGGTCAAGTGGGAGTCAAGGAGTTTGGGAGTTGCTATGGAAGGTCTAAACCAAGAAAAGTTTCAGCTGAGGTGACTCATCAGGCGGACGGAGGAGAGGTCAGTCAGGCCGCACGGGTGTCAGTATTCACACTCAGCTTGACTTGGGACTAGTTCTGGTTCACTCGGAGCTCGTTTTACTTCGTCTGTGGATGTCTGACAGCACCAAACACAATTGCACTGGTCCTCAGTCAGTTCACTTGGTTTGATCACGGCCCAGTGGTGCAGTGGTTAGCGCTTGTGTTTGATAGCAAGAAGACTCTGGGTTCGATTCCACCTCCAGGCATTTCTGTGTGGAGTTTACATGTTCTCCCCGTGTCTGTGTAGGTTTCATCCGGGCACTCCAGTTTCCTCTACCACGAAAACGTGTACAATAGGTCTGGCATGTGCCCCCTGTAGGTGACCCTGCTCCCATCTCTGTTTGGAGGCGAGACAAAAGCCCTCGACAATTGTAAAGCCCTTTGTGACTCTAGTCTGTGAAAAGCAATATATAAATAAACATGACTTACTAATTCCTTCTCAAGTGATCTGAGCATGAACTGTTCACAGTGTTTGACTTATAGCACTTTAGTTTCTGCTATTTAGAAATATTCTATTAAACTCATGAAACATTACTATGTTCTACTATAATTAGAGCTGTGTTTCTTTGGTCGATAAAAAAGGTCGAAGTCTATCGTCTAAGGAGATACGCAACACTTCCCTGTTCTGGGCGACCAAAAAATATATTAGTCAAGATGAATCTTATGAGAAACATCAAACAGAACATGCAGCACAAAGTCGCTCAATATTTTGTGTTTGTTTTGCTTCATTTCACATTTTTAAATATGGCTGCATTGTTTTCTTATGCTATTGTTGTTTTGTATGAAGCTAAAATCTAAGTATAGCCCAAAGTCTGGAAGTCTTTTTTAGCCTCCACTAATTGATCAACTTGTCTTTAGTCCACCAGGCCTTTCTTTGTAATTGATCAACTTGTCTTTAGTCCACCAGGCCTTTCTTTGTCTTTGGTCCCCAGAAACAAAGAGAGAGCGTCATCTGTCACCTACAGTCTCTCTCCCTAAAACCTTCAAACAAGGTCAGAAATCTAGGGGTAATACTGGACTCAGACTTAAATTTTAATAGCCACATCAAATCAGTAACATCAGCAGCTTTTTACCATCTAAAAAACATTGCCAGGATCAAAAACATAGTGTCTAAAGCAGACTTGGAGATTCTTATCCATGCATTTGTCTCCAGTAGGTTAGACTACTGCAATGGCCTGCTCACAGGTCTGTCCAAACAGGCTGTAAAACAGCTGCAGTACATTCAAAATGCAGCAGCTCGAGTCCTGACAAGAACCAGGAAGTACGACCACATTAGTCCAGTCCTCAGGTCTCTGCACTGGCTTCCTGTGGCTCAGAGAATAGACTTTAAAACAGCTCTGCTTGTGTACAAGTCTCTCCATGGCCTCGCACCAAAATATATTAGTGACATGTTAGTCCCATATGAACCAGCCCGGACTCTGAGGAGCACAGGGACTGGACTCCTGTTAGTGCCCAGAGTCAGAACTAAACATGGGGAGGCTGCTTTTCAGATTCATGCTGCTAAAATCTGGAACAGTCTTCCTGGAGATGTGAGACAGGCCTCCTCTCTGACAATGTTTAAAGCCAGGTTAAAGACAGTTCTGTTTAGCTGTGCATACAACTGAGGGATTTTATATTTGTATCTTTCTTTTTAATGTTCTGTGATTATTTATGATTTTAATGCTTTCTTGTTTTGTTCAGCACTTTGAATTGCCTTGTGTATGAATTGTGCTATATAAATAAACTTGCCTTGCCTTGCCTTCTTTGATTGACAAGGATCTTAATATACATCTGGAATCTCAACATTGGCCCAATGTAATTCAGTAATCGTAAAAAGTCTGTGCTGATTTGTGCCTGCTCCTTTTTGGTCTATCACCTCAAAACGTTACTATGAAAAAAAGCCAACACAGGGCGACGTAGCAACCCACAAAACAATCAAAAAAGCAATTAGCGAACCAGATTCTTTCAAACAAACAACACAAAGGGCAGTAGTAGGAATGTTGCTGGTGGCGAGCAACAGAACTTAAATATATCCAGTTTAAAAACAAATGCTGCAGCTCTGAAATGAGATGGAAATGAAGCATGAAGAACAGTTCAACATGAGTTTTAGACGATGAAAGTTTACATCAGTCTCTGTCTGTAGTGGTGCCACTGACTGGTGCCGTTCATGTCGGCCATTTTTAAACCAGGACAGTATTTTATGGGCCCTTCACAGAGGAGCTCTTGCTTCCTTTTCCTGTGGTTTGGCCTTGGGCTGAGCTGTCGGACTGAGGGCTGTAGATGCTCCGCTTTGGCAGTCTCTCCGCAGAGCGCCCCGACCAGACAAAAGAGGAGAGAGAAACACAGCCATTTATTTATATTCGCTGTGGTTTTGCGTGTTGCGTCCTAGACATTCAGACCCCGGTTGGATATTCCAGCTCAGGATGAAGACAGACGGATAGCTTTCCATTGACACAGTTAAAGGAACACTGGGATTAATGTCAGATCCATATGTGTTAATCGAGTGTGAGCGTTTCATGTGCGGTTTGTATAAATCTGTAAAACTATCTGAACAAAAACACAGCGCACTTCTATTCAAATCGAGAGGATTTTAGAAACAGAAACTGGGGGAAACCAATGCCGTCGGAGAGCATGAGATTTTGTCATTCTGCGATTACTTCACCGGTGTCAATATGGAAGCAATTTGGAGGCTTCCCTGGACGTGGAGCGCGTTCAAAATTGTCAAAAGATTTTTTTTCCGAAGCACAGACATGGGTTATAAAGAGTGGGGAGAACAAAAGAAAACCAATAGAAGCTGCGGTTTCCTGACTCACCGAGCGTACTGTGTCTATGTGGGAGAGCCGTAAATGAGTATTTCTATACAGCAGTGGAGGAGGAGGCTTAAATATGTTCACACACAGTCCATGTGCTCCTCCTGGCTTTCTTCTACACACACAGTAGTGGCTGCGGCTTCGCTCGACCTCACTGGTCAGGAGCCCGTGCCAAAAGCAGACCTCGTCCTGGAACACTGGGCCGGTTTCAGAGTCGCCAGCGTTCTCCCGACCTTGCTTCAAAATACACTGCGGCTTCCACGAACAGCACTCTCAGCAGTAGGGAGGCCAGGCACGGAAAATGTAGACGCTACGAGAGACCGAGAGGGAGAAATGTATAAAGGAGAGAAAAGGGGCAGTCAGAATTTATGTGCTCGTTCGCGTTTGTGGTTGTGAGAATTTTGTTAATGCTTTAAACATATTTTGTGTAAGAGTGGCGTTCTCACAGTGGAGCAGTGTGTTTGAAAGTGAAAGAAACAGAGGACTACTGTGACAATGGTGGGATTATGTTTCTGTTTACTGTAAGCAGCGGCATGTAATTGCATATCGTCATGGGAATGATCGGCGAAGAGGACTGCGACATGTATTAGGCTGGATTCACATGTTGCTTTAACCTAAGCCGTGTTTGCATACTTTCAAATAGATCATGGACAATACAGGACTAGAGAGGGCAGCACTCCAGAACAAGACACAAGAAAGTATTTGCCATTTGCAGTAAAACCACAACATTATTTTTCATATTCTGACAAACACATACACACTGGTTCACACTGGGGCACCACAGTTTTTCCAATGTGGTTTTACTGCAAATGGCAAATAATTCTTGTATCTAAGCAACAAAAAAAAAATATATACCTACATACACACACAAAAACAACAACAAAACAAGAACAAGAGGATTACAAACAAATGTGTAACGTGAACTGCTCTCCAGAACATTTAAGTGGAAGGAATTACGTTTAAGTTTTTCTTAAGCATACGTTTTTCTGATGCCAAACTTCCACTTCCACGAATGAAACAACAATACACCCAAACAGCACCACAGGTTACACCTTATTGTGGCTTCAGGTTTCATTTAACCCTTTATAGCGTCATGACGAAGCTTGAACAACGGTATTATTGTAAGTTTAGAGCCACCAGAATATGTGTATCATCTATTTCACTTTTTATTTGTCTTTAGTTTGTGACAAAGTGTGACTGAAAATGAGCAGAAGTTGCTCCTTGTCCAAACAAAACAAACAGTTACAACTTAATGAAGCTCACTGATTTTATTACGCAATGAGTGATATTAATAACACAACTGGACTGACAAAGTTACTTATTGGTCACTACTTTTCAACTACTTGAGTACATACAATAAAGCCGGGGTACCTAATTTTCCGAGCACAAAAGTTGGGCTAGGTAATAAAACCCATACAAAATATCTCTTTTATCCCTAGTTCTCACACAGATGTATTTTTAGCCTCTGCTTTGGACGTGACGTAATGTCGGTCCACTGCGAGACAAATCTACCCACAAATAAAGTGAACCTAAATCCTCACTCGGCCAATCAGATGTCAGCCCGAAGTGTCAATAAGTTACTCACAGGGCTCTGTCTTACAAAAGTGCTCCAGACAAGATGTTTATACAATGAGATGAAGACTTATGTTGATTTTACGATTGGGAAAAAACCTTCAACCTCGGCCTTTGTATTGGTCTTGGTAACACTTTAGTTTAGCCCTCACTAATTAACAGCTAATTATTGTACCCTCGCTCTAACCCACGTGAGAAAGAGTCAGTTTGTAGTTAGATGTTGAAGAAGACCATGTAGAATAAGGACTAATAACTTAAATGTATATAGAAGGATTTTCCCAAATTTTAGCAAAGAACCGCCCTCTACACTTTATCACCAGAATGATTGACACTTGGGAGGACCAATAGTCTTGATGATCCACTCGGTAGTAGGAAATTCCCCTAAATACCCTAAACTAATGCTTAAAAAATACCAACTAAGTCAAGAGTTGATTAATCATAAATTATAAACTACTTAGCTGTTATTTAGTGAGGGCGGAACTAAAGTGTGACTGCTCTTGATATCAGATCCAAACATTTCAAAACAAATCTCAGTGTTCGGAAAACAGGCAAAGCAGGTGATTTACTAAGAATTATATATCAAGAATTAAAACTAAACTTCCATGGACCACTATTGGGTAGTTACTGAAAACAGAAAATAGTGAATCTGTATTTACGCTGCACTTCTCACAGACAGAATCGTGCGCTCTTCCAGACAAAACAAAAGTGGTGTTTTGTTGTGGACAGTATTAGTCAGTCGTCCGGCTGCGTCTCGCTCTCGCTGCTGCTGCTGCTCTGACACTGCGGCTGACATCAGTGACTTAATAACACCTTGTCGCTCTAATAGTGTGTGTTATTGGAGCAGCACCCTGTAATCTCCTCCTTCTTGACGTCGCAATGATTCAAAATATTAAACCGGGCCTAGTGTACAAGCCGTGCAAACACAAATACTCTGTCATAGTGATCTCACCGCAGCCAGAGAGGCCGCACCGTCAACAATGTCAGTCTTATCCAGCTCCAGGGGGTCTGTCTGTGCCCCTGTGAATGAGGGGAGACTGTATATGAGGGGAGACTGTATATGATGGGAGACTGTATATGATGGGTATATGATGGGAGACTGTATATGATGGGTATATGATGGGAGACTGTATATGATGGGTATATGATGGGAGACTGTATATGATGGGAGACTGTATATGATGGGAGACTGTATATGATGGGAGACTGTATATGATGGGAGACTGTATATGATGGGAGACTGTATATGATGGGAGACTGTATATGATGGGAGACTGTATATGATGGGAGACTGTATATGATGGGAGACTGTATATGATGGGAGACTGTATATGATGGGAGACTGTATATGATGGGAGACTGTATATGATGGGAGACTGTATATGATGGGAGACTGTATATGATGGGAGACTGTATATGATGGGAGACTGTATATGATGGGAGACTGTATATGAGGGAGACTGTATATGAGGGAGACTGTATATGAGGGAGACTGTATATGAGGGAGACTGTATATGAGGGAGACTGTATATGAGGGAGACTGTATATGAGGGAGACTGTATATGAGGGAGACTATATGAGGGAGACTGTATATGAGGGAGACTGTATGATGGAGACTGTATGATGGAGACTGTGTATGATGGAGACTGTATATGATGGAGACTATGAGGAGAGACTGTATATGAGGGAGACTGTATGAGGGAGACTGTATGTGCCTATTACACATAAAATGTTTGATAGAAAAATATATTTCCATGTTATGAGAAGCAGAGTTTGTATGAGGATCAATAGATGTGCAGCATTAATATTTGTGGCATTTGACAGAAGTTGTTGATATCAATAGAGCTGAAGTCGACCAAAGAAAGAAAAAGCATTCAAAACATTTACGTATCAGACGCAAACTGTACTCAAAAGAATTTAATACATGCAGTGAAATCACTCAAACATTTAGCAATCAATGAAAACATGAATTAAACTTGTGAATAGAGCTTTGTTGGGCTTTATTATCGAAGTGAAGACCAGAATCTTCCCCATATTTACAGGCTTCCCATCAAACTCTGTGTAAATTAGTCGGAAAACTGATTAATTTACTCAACAATATTGTTGCTAAGCAACAATTAAAGTAGTATTAATCTTTATGTAAACTAGTACTATGCTGTATCTAACAGCTTCAGCTCGTGCCAATATCCTCCTCCTCCCTATCACCATCTCGACATAGGAACTCTATGAATCTCATAATGATCATTTCAATAATTTCTCTGAAATGTGTACAATATGCAATATATCTGTCTGGATCTATAAAACCAAACGAGGTGAGTGAGTTTGAGTGTGGGACTACAGATGGCTAGGATCTGGTGCCTTTACAGCTCTGCTGTTATTGATACACAATGTTCCAACCAATTCACCGTATTTTATGGACTTTAAGCCGCTACCTTTTTCTAGCTCCTGCGGCTTAAATAGCAATGCGGCAAAAGTGTGTATTTTTATTGTGATAGAGTTGGTCTGTTTTCAGACCAGAATTTATGGACTTATTATTTTGACTCCATCAAGTTTTAGTATCTTATTTATTTACACGCTCATTTATTGCCAGAATAGATTAAGGTGAATGAGTAAAACAGTCGTCTCTCTGAGACATCACAGCATGAAAACCTGCGGCTTATATTCCAGTGCGGCCTGTATGTGAACAACGTGTACTCCCTTTTCAAATGTTGCTGGTGCGGCTGAAGTATGGTACGGTACCTTAAAAAAACAAGCCAGGTACCAGGACAATGTACTTTTCATTGAAATGGATGAAAGGTAATCTTTGTGAAGAAGCAAATGACTTCATTGTAAAGATTGTATTGTAGTGTTGAAACTGTCTCATGTTTTTCCATATTATCCATATTCTCACTTATCCCTATCACAGAATAAAACACATTTGGACGTTTGAATACAACTGTCTTTACCTAAACAGAGTAGATCTAAAGTGACGTGAGCAGTTCATTGATTTGCTAATACAAACTGCCCTTTTCATTTCCACATGTTGCAACACTGAACCTTACATAATCCAGGCTTTGGATTCCCATTTTAATACATCTAAATAAGTACTGACCAGGGGGCGGGGATAAGGGATGGGTGAAAACAGACATATTCTGAGCACTACTCAAGCATGCACATGTAAGATTATAACAGAACCATGACTAGCACTTGATAAAACATTTTACTGTATTTTTTTGCACTATGATTGTACTGTACACGGTATGAGAATGTAGCAAGACTTTCAGACAGTCACCAACATCAAAGATGAAAGTGCCCCGCCGCCTTGAAGTATCTTTACAACCACACAAAGTGGCACAGTTGTGGTTGAAAGCAGGTGAGAAGGCTGCCATATAAGAACAGGTAGGTCTGGTTCAAGCACAATCAGAGCCCTATATCAAAGATAATGGAAACTTTAAATACGACGCCATTTTCCTTTCATGGTTTTATGTGGCTGAGACTCCGGCGCGCGTCAGGTGTTCTGCGCGACCAGGCCAGACTTCCTCGTACAGAGACAGAGGAAGATCTGAGGGGTCTGTTTGATGCCGTCGCTGTGGCCCCATCCTGTCTGGCTTAATGCTAATCCCACTGCACAAATTAGTACACAAACTCAGCATTCCTCCAGAGGAAATATAAACAGCCAGATATTTTATGACCCTATAACAGACCCTATCACAATACAGCTCCAAAAGGTTGGCAGCAGAAAGCCCAGCGGCGGCTCCAAAAACTGGGCCGGGGTCTTTATGGATTGGAAAATATTGTGGGTTTTGGACGCGGTGGTGCTTTTGGAAACATGTTTTGTCTAGTGCTTTTTACACACCTCATCACACTTGAGCTCACGGTGAGTAATGATGGGCAGACTGGCCTGTGGCTCCGGGATGACACAAGGGAAACGCTTCAGGAAATATAATGGAGAGAGAGAGGATCAAGATGACATAAGCAACTAGTGCTGTTTGGGTCCCGGAGTCAAGGGAGAGGAGGAGGGAATATTCACTCAGGAAAACAACGGATCAGATTCAGAGAAGGAAAGATGGAACGTCAACGTGTTTGTTGTTACTGTGAATTTTTGTTTTAACATTTGTGTTTTTGCTTTTTTTGTTTATACATGAATTTTTCTCCATTTATCATTTTTAAACGTAACAGTGAAGAGTATACTGTAGCCCACAGGAAGGATAGCTGCTGTTTATCCAATCCACTTCATGTACTGTATATGTATAATGGGGCAACAGTGGCTCAGTTGGTAGAGCATTGGCCTTAGAGCCTGAAGGTTGTGCGTTCAAGCCCATCACGAGACCTACTTCCACTGATGACTGCTGCCGTTGTGTCCTTGGGCAAGACACTTAACCCCACTTTGCCTGAAGCCCCTGCTGAATAATCAAGGCCTATACGGACTCAGCACCTGCAGAAGGATCAGTGAGGGGCTGGTGCTCTGTGAACTGAGAGCAGCTCTGACTGTCACCCCCCGACCCAGAAATGGATTATGGGGATGAAAATGGATGGATGGACTTTATTTATATAGCACATTTCATAAACACAGTTCCCAAAGTGCTGCACAATAAGATAGGAACAAAACAAATCCATAGTAAAACAGTAAAATCATAAATCAAATAGGAAAAACAGTGTGATAAATAATCCATCCATTTTCTACCCTTTAATCCATTTCTGGGTCAGGGGGGTGGCAGTCAGAGATGCCACCCAAGTCTCATAGCACCAGCCCCTCACTGACCCTCTGCAGGTGGTGAGTCCACAGGAGGACGGCTGCTCTCTGAGTGTGAGCATAGCCTTGATCTTTCAGTGGGGGCTTTGGGCAAAGTGGGGTTAAGTGTCTTGCCCAAGGACACAACAACAGCAGTCATCAGTGGGAGTAGGTGGAGAAGGTGCAGAGGTGGGAATTGAACCCACAACATTCTGGGCTTAAGGCCAGTGCTCTACCAACTGAGCTACTGTCGCTATAATAATATAATAATAAAACAAAATGAAATAGAAAAAAAATGAAAGGACCATACAACTCCCAGTGTAAAAAGCCAGAGCATAAACATGGATCTTAAAGATGAGACCTGAAACACTCCACGGAGGGAGCAGTTTGTCAGTAGCTAATGGGATCGCAATAAAAACAAATACACAAGACACATCTTGATAAAAGTGAAAATGACTAACGTTGTGCTAAACGTGTAAAGTGTCTCGATAGAAGAGATAAAAGATTGCACGGTCCAACTATTTACCATTTTTTCAGAACGATTTTTATTGCCTTGAAAGTACCAGGAAGTCACAGACTTGGAAATTGCTTTGGCTCGGTGCAACAGTCAAAGAAGAGAGGTAAAGAATAGAGAAAGGCATAATAAAAATAATAAAAATTAGCATACACTACTAAGGTATAAAATTTAGAACAATGTGCACTGTCCAAATGTAAGTCTGACCTCGAGCCACTGATCATTTATTGCTCTAAACTACAGAGACATAAACTCGAGGAGAAGATGCTTTTTGACTCTTGTATAATGACTGCAGACGGAAATGAAAATGTGTTTACAAAATATTGGAATCCGATGTGTAACGAGACCTCTCTATGTGTCCAAGTTCTGGAATGTTCTGGAGGCGTATCACGGAACATTTGTCTCCTCTGGACAAATGGATGTTCACATATATAGTCACTGACCTTTCAAGATCTAAACGACTAATCTGAATTGAAAGAATAATCAACCGACTAATCCATAATCAAAACATTTGGTTGAGTCTGATGTTGAACCTTATCATTTGTGAGGCATTTGCAAACTCCCACAATGATTGATAAAAAACTGTTTGCGGTTTATAATTGCACCTTGGACCATAATTGCACTTTTCTGTTGTGCAATAGTTTTTGTTGAGATGGCACCAATAATGACAGATTTATGAACCAGAACTAGGTCAAACCAAAGTCACGAACAGCTCTGACCTACACGTTCACACTGCAAAGAAAACATGGAAACAGAATATTGTTTAAACAACATTTTGTGAAAAAATCCGACCACGAGCGCTGGTTCTTTCTTATTTGCTGAAAAAGCTAAAGTAGGAGAGTATCTGAGCCTGTCCATACGATACTTATGATGAGATACAGGGGACAGTACAATCCAATACAGTTAAATATGATTTATATTTCTAAAATGATAAGATTCAGTAAAGAACAAGGCTCTGCTACATTAACAATATTTATGCACTTAACAAAACAAAATTGATAATTATATACTTAAAGATGCAGTCAATGATTTCCAGACGCATTTTTTAATATTGTGGGAAAACGTTCCTAAATCCTAAAATGTGTTTTTAAATAGTAATGGAATTGACCAGATGCCTATCGTCAACAAAAATTCATAAGATATATTTTGGAGCGGACCGATAAAAATAAACCAATAGGACACGTCTTCACCTTCTTCGTGTTTCTCGCGACTGTGCCTGAGTTATTGGATTATTTTCTAAAACCTAAAATGGTTGAACAGAAAATACCACTTTCACGTTTGCCGCCCACTCTCCCTGTTGTGAGAAAGAAAAGAAAATGCTGGATGTTTGGTTTGGTGGAGAGGGAGGGGAGGGGGGAGTGGTTCCCAGTTGGTGCTACGGCTAAGCTAACAACATCGCTTACTGCACCTTTAATTTTTCTGTCTCTTTTTTTTTTTTTTTTTACTGACAAACAAAAGTAAACATGTCACAAGGGCCTCGTGGTTTCAAAGGTTGTACTCAAACTTCAATACATTAAATGAATTCTACATCACGTCTCATTGTTTTAAAAGTAACAAGGTGAGGTTAGGTTCAATAACAATAACAACACTGCTGTAGAAACCATAGAAACTACAGGAACCTGTTATTGAGAATATCCCAAAGAACGTCAACATCAAAGCTACAATATATATGCAAAAGTTTGTGATCGAGCCAACTGTCACTCACAGAACACCATGGCAATGGGCACATAGGAGGGGCTCATTAGTGGAGAAGGAGAGCGAGGGAGAAAGGGTGGAGGGGGGGTTGCACTTCCTGTCTCCATTCCCCCAGCCAGCCCACATCTCCAGCAGCAGAAGGAGCACTGGGGGAACTGGGCGGACTGCGGACCACATGACATTCTGAGCTCTCCGACTGATGTGCGCGGTCCTCCTCCCGGTCTCCTCCCTCGCGCCCTCCCTTTCCTGCAGCCTTCAAAGCTTCGACATGTCATCCCCAGCCACAAAAACAGAGGTGGGAAGACTCACTGGCGCTACCGCTGCCTCAGGGTGTCTGGCACTAAAGCTGCCTGCAAATACAGCGCCGGGGAGAGGGGAGGAAGTGAGGAAGGAGGAGTGCGGAGAGAAGCAGAAGAAGGCTTAAGACTTTAGACCAGTTGTGGCATCAAAGTGTGCGCGGACGAGAGCGGTTATTAAGGTCAACTTTGCAATAAATCATCAAATGAAAACATACACGGAACTATCGCTGAGTCGAGGTTGAGCGGAGCAGAGGGAATCCTTATTGTTCTGAAAAATAATCTATAATAAAAAGGTGAATTTCAGTGTTGAGTGCTCCTCGAATAATGCATAATAGATTCAGATTAAGAGAGCCTTTATTCGTCCCACAGCGGGGAAATTCCAGTGTTGCATCACAAGTTAGAGAAGAGTAGGAATGAGGAGCACACAGAAAAGTGAACAATAACTACACTGATTAAAATAAAACAAAATCTCTTGATAGGAATCAGACTCAAGCAAATTGGGATCTTTGTACGACAAAGCCTCCTGGCTGGTTTATTCACAAAATGGTCGTTAATTTTCAGGCAGAACAAAAGACACAGATACATTATATATGGAAATCTACGTCATCATAGAAAAGGCCAAACCTTCGGCACAAATAGCCTAAACAACGAAAGTCTCTGTGGTCCTTGAGACCTCCACAAGGCCAGGTTATTAATACTATTTTGTCTTGCATTTGTCCACCTGTGCAGTACATAGGTCACTGTTTACCACACTCTAACTCAAGCATCAAAGAAACAAGAATAAAATCTATCTCCAGTGGCACAGGTATGTTCTAATCAACGCATTCGTTTCTATAAACATTTTACAGGTTTAAAGAGGATCATTCTTTTGACCTGTTTTGAAGGACCGCAGTTTGAGAACCGCTGTGGTAGAGAATAATTGTGCAGAGAGAAAATTGGAAGAATATGTTTGCCGGCAGTGTGGTCACAGCAGCATTATGACCGCAAAAACACAATGTAATGTTTGGACAAATAGGATAAATCGTACTTAGCCTAATGGGAGATGCATGGGAACCTCAAGCCTGTAATTGAATGTATCTTGTGTGATTGTAGGGTCCCGTTTCTCCATGTTTGATTTTCAGTCGCTGTAAAGGCATATAGTGAATAATTTATCCAACTGGTGCAGAACGGATACCGCAGAATTTGCAGATTGATTTAAGGAGCAATTATGCACTTGGCTTTTGAACCTCTGAGGGTTTTGGAAATGAATAAGTCAATTGGCCTCACGACAAAGTAAGCAGTGCACTTCTGACCGTAGAGAACTCCAGAAAGTGTCCGTGAAGCCACAAAAGCCCGGCAAACAAGTCCGTGTCTGCAGGGCCAGCGGGGGCCAGCGGACCCTCAGGGGACAGGAGCACACAATGAGACACTTCTAACCACACGAACCCTGTCTTTCATTAAAATCATGTTTCACCACCATCTGGGAGTACAGAAAATAACAGATATATTTGTCCGCTCGACTTCTCACTCCCAGTCCGAATGTTTGACATTCTTCTAACAAACACAGATACAGTCGTTTCTTTGGGATTCTTCTTAATAACGTAGTCACAAGTCACTTTACAGGTTGTTATTATTACTGCATACATATCCATCTGATACTAGTCACTTTACTGCTGATATTGTTTATTCTGCTCATATTCTCTGCTGCTAAAGTACAATATACACATCTTTATTGATCTCTCCATTGTGAGATCAATAAAGTATATCTCTGATCTCATCACCAAGTGCAATTATAGCTCCAGAGTTTATTTTATTTTAATCCATTTTACCATCGTATTATCTGGTTTTAATTGTTTTGTCTATTGTCTTAAATAACAGACTGTTGTGTGAGTGTCTGAGTCTTATTTCCTTCTTTCTCTGCTGTAATGTGCACAACGTTGACACTGATCTTTCCTCACTGCGGCACGAATAAAGGAAGATCTTATCTTGTATTTTTGCTCCCAAAGCAGGAGAAACACGAGGACTCTACATTAATAATAAGTCAATACCAACTCAACAACAAACTTTGGCTTTGTGTTTGTGTAATAGATAAGCAACAGCATCTGGTTTAACCTGCCGAGTAACAAGTCACTCATAACCTCAGCGTTAGGTTCAGGGAGTCGTGAACCCAGCGCTTCAGGTGACAGCAGCACCTTTCTGCTCTCACCTGTTTTAGCCAATTTTATACAACTGATATTTTACTCATCAGAAAAAATAAGAATAGGAGATGATTCTTGCTGTTTACAGAAAGAAAAGTCATGTGTGTATGTTCTTAGAGACTAAATATTTGAGTTTAAAGTAGCAATATGTAAGATTTTCCAGTCAAGTCCTCATTAAAGGGCCCAAATCTGTCAAAAGCCATTAATAAACCTGCTCTTTTCCAATACTTCTTTAACTGATAACAGAAGTTCGGAGATATTTGGATTTCAAAATAAGTTTTCCAGCCCCTAAATCTTGTTATTGTTTTCATTTCGATGTCCCGCCCTCCACCGTTTTACCAATCAGAAAGTCTTTGATCCGGGCGCCAGAACACACCGCGCCAAGCTAATCTCATGGTAAAGTACCATGTGGCCGAAGAACTAAAAAAGGTCTCGTTATGATTCTCAAATCATTAACGACAAAACAAGGAATAAAACCAGGATTTATATCTTTGTTAAAAAGTTGTTGGTTATTTGTTGTTGACAAAACCCTTTATTCAAATATTAAGATACCAGCTGGGTTTGTCTGCATATCTGGCAACCTGAGTCAGGGAGAGTGGGAGAGGCTGCAGTAACACTTTTGGCCAGATTTTTACATACTGCTCCTTTAAGAACATACACACACAAACTTTTCCCACAAAGAGTATCTGAAGCAAATACTTACTCGAGTACCACCATCTGATCTAGATCTACCGTGCAATTAACACCAAACTCAGGGATTAATCTATTGCTACAGAGTTCATATTCACTCTTTCAATACTTTTGTTTATTTATAAGTTCTTTGGTCTAATTACTGCATTAGTCACTTCACAGCTTTGACACTTACAGTTTTTATGGCCTGATTATCAAAAAGGTGTCAACGCCAAAACTCTGAACAAACCACAGACGTTATATAACAAACCAGCACGACAACTGTCCTAACGTGGAGACATCTAGAGCAAATGATCCAACAAAAAACACACAACATGACTCCAAATAGGAAGCTGGATCCAAATTTGTAAAATAAATAAAATTGCTTTTTGATTTACTGCCATATTATTAACAGTGGTCTTTTTCTGTGTACAAATAACATTGTGGAAAACGGATGATTTTAGCAAAGGGGATTCTAATGTACCTCAAGGGCCACACGTTCAAAGACGGGACGGACACATAAAAAACTCAAGCGGCGATCTGTATTCACGCCTGGCTCTGCTTTACGACAAACAAAAGAGATTCATTTTGGCTGCATCAAAGTGAAAATAAATGCACCGTTTGTAGCAACATGGACGAATCACCGAGGGCCGAGAAAAAACGTTCTGACGGTCGCAATTTTCCCGGGGACCACAGTTTGGACATGATCAGATTTCCTTTCAAATATTGACTTTAAAACCAGCTCTGCAATGCAAAAGCACGCTCAATATTTGTCTGAAAATGTGTAAATAAAAGTGTGTGCTGAAGGAGGGTCCGAGCACAGGGGCAGCTCCAGGACATCATCCAGCAGCTTCAATCCAGAGATCGACGATTAATCTGTTTTGACTTGTTTTGACCATTTTTGACCAATCAGGGTTTTAAATAGCTTGATCTACTTTTGGCATGTCAACAATATAGTCCTTTGAGACGACTGATGTTGTTATTTTGGGCTCTGGCTGCACGATTCATCACAAATCCAAATCGTAATATTGTGTTTGTGATCGGCAAATCGCAAAAACTGCAATAGTTGCTGCAGCAATAGTTGCTGCAGTAGTTCTTAAAATCAAGACAGGGACTAAAGAAAAAATGAAAAAATAAGGATTTGGGGAACTGTGCCTTTGTGAATTGAATAAGCAAGTCTTTTTTGTGTTGGTATCAGGCCAAAGCATAATTTTCTCATATCTCACGACAAAATCAACTTTATTTTATTTATTTATTGTTTATTTCTGTTGAAGAGAAAAATAATTGGTTGAACTGTAGGTTAGAAATGCATGATTATTTTCTGAAAGGTGAGGGAATTATGCATAAGGTATTTTAAGATATTATTTTTTCATTTTTTTAAACATGCAGGAAATTGAAAGTCGCAAAATTAGATACTTTTACCACAATCTTGAGCCCTTTTCTCTCTGTAGCTGCGGTGAGGCCCACCTTGAGCGTGACCAGCGCGGCGTGTGTGCGGCGGGGAATGCCTTTATCACTGTATCAGCGATGACATCTCCTCTTAAGGCGTTTACACTGCGGCCCGCTGCGCTTCACACTGGCGTAAAATGCGTCTGTGGAGCGTGTCGAAGCACCTGCAGCCTGAGTCAACAGCAGGAGCCGCTTACCTGATGCACATCCTCAGCCCGCTCCTGCCGCCACAGACCCTTCAGACGTCTGCACGCCACCGCTCCGGACGACAGGGAGCCACGTTTATGATGCCTGGGCACAGAAACCACAGTAAAGAGACGTACAAGGCACAAAAACGAGAAAAACAACTGCAGTATTTTGGGCAAACTGTAAAGAAGATTTAAATGGGAGTAGCATGCCACCTGCGTCTGCTTTTTCCAAAGATCTGAAAGAATTTATTGTCAAGAATTAAAGGTCAAGGTTACTCAGCGTTACTCACTAAGAAAGTGACATTAAACAAATATGCTTCATGTCGTAGAGACTGGTTTGACTGCGGGAAAAAACGCTGTGGAGGCTTTTCCTCATTTGATCATCTTGAATCATTAAAAGAAGATAAAAATACCATGAGTTAAGAAACGAGTGCATGGGGACCGGCTTAAAGCTCGAGTACCGAACATTTCTTACATAATATTTCTTGTTTGTCCCAGCAGAAAGAGTAAAGTAGTTTTGAACAAATCAGATCACAACAAACTGTCTTTGATTAGAAAACATGTTTGTGTTCTTCTAAATAAGAACCTGGCCTGAGAACTCTTTTTCACTTTTCTGTTTTCTGCAAAAGATGATCTTAAGATGTGACAGAGAGCAAACATAGAAGATGTGAAAACCTGTGATTTGAGAACGAGGAGCTGGTTACAGTAGATTCATTACATTGAGAACATAGTTAGGTGTCCCAGCTTTAAATTATCACTCATAAATGTAGATTATACTTGCTACTTATTTTGTGAGAAAGTCCTGGCCATATTTTTAAATTCCTTTAAGTAAAATCATTGATTCTCCAGTTGACTTCAAACAGATTTAAATAAAGCCTTTATTTATATATACGTAGTATCAATCAGAATCTTTTTTATTGCCATGTGAGTAACAGAAAGTCACAGATTAGGAAATGGCTTTGGCTCTCAGTGCAAGTTAAAGCAGAATAAAAACAAGAAGGTAAGCATAAATAAAAATCTACATTGAATGGTGCCGTCTGGTTGGATGTGGATTTTACAGCTGATTTTGTCTAATTTTGTCTAACCTCCTGTATCTCATTGTTTCATAGCAAATTAGATCATGTAAATATATACAAGTGCTCTTTATTATGCTAAAGCTAAAGATTTTATACTAGCTTCTTTATTATGCTAAAGTTACAGATGTTATACTTGCACCCAACTTGCTTTTTTATGCTTGCTTCATTCTTAACATCCTTTTAAAACAGATTAAAATATGCCAGTTTATAGCCACAAAGCTAGTTTTCCTCCATAATCCCTCGGCAAATACATAAATTACAGCTGGACATTCACTTTAATGTCTATCTTTAATATAACACCACTTCTGCGTAGCATTCATCACTTTTATTCATGTGACTTTGCTTGGAAACAAACATAACAAACATGTAATAAAGTTGTGAAAGGCCACAGAATGTCCAATAAACGTTCTGTGTTCATCCTCTTTGTTGTGTCAAGTACAATACTGACACTTTTCTGGTTTTATTTATTACAACTAAACACTGGGACCGCATCAAAACACGCCAAACTCATCACTGCTGTCATGTTGAATGAAGCGAAGCAGCATTCTGTCATATTTCTGAACAGTGGAAGTGAGAAGAGAACATTTTTTTACACGAGGGCTGCTTTTTAGGGAAATCACAAACGAGAGCGCGCTGTGGGGTGTTCTTTTGTGGTGCAACAGTGACCCCTGCTGGACACATCTGCTACATCAGCCTGGCTTTAAACTCGATAGAAGAAACTATGACATGCAACCTAGAAGTAAAATGCAATTGTATTTCACGTGTGTATTTAAATAATCAAATCTTAACTTACTTCATTAGGATCTTTTGTTATGTTTATGAGTCCGCTGCAGTGAATGTAGCCTTGTTAAACCTGCTCTAGATGGGGCAGATATGGCCCTTACTTTAGTGTTGTGTTTAAGCAGCTTCACAAAGCTCCAACATTATAGCATGAGATAAAATCTGATCAACACTCACCACTTCCACTTCCAGAGGGCGAGTCCCGGGAACGAGTATTTTTATCCGTAGGTAGGTTCTGCCACAGGGACCGATTTCAGCCAATCAACCTAATAAAAAAACATGTATTTATCGGTTTTATTAGGGGCATTTAACGTGCACTTGGGATCATTGTCCCCATAGCTAATGTACATGGTTAATAGAATAGGTTCCATTAGGGGCATTTCACGTGCCCCTAATGGAAGTCGTCCTTCTTTTAAAAAAAAAAAAAGTGGTCCAAATTTAAAGACTAAGTCTTTCAATTCGGCCACTTTTTTTTTTTTACATTAATCAACTTATTATTGAAAAAATACAAAACAAACTGTTTTATCAAACATTAGAACAATCACACTACATAGTAAAAAACAAACATCACAAAAACGAACAATGTCCAAACATGTCTTTCTCCCCTTTTTCCTCTTTCTTCTCTTTTACTTCTTCCTCCCGGACCTCCTCTTCTTCCTCCTGGACCTCCTCTTCTTCCTCCTGGACCTCCTCTTCTTCCTCCTGGACCTCCATCTCCTCATCCAAGAGCAAAGCTGCAAGTCCAAATAAATATGTTGCAGAAATTAAAGGTAAGTGTCAGAAAAGGTAAGTGAAGTGTCTTGCCCAAGGACAAAATGACAGTGTGTACATGAGGGACTGAAAACATGTCTTTACTTACTAACAGGAATGCATATTGTCTCCTCCACCTCCTCCTCTTCCTCCTCCTCTATAACCAATCTCCCTGGTGACCCCATCTCCCCCACGTCCTGCTCCTTATCAGATGAGTCGATCTGCATTTAACAGGACACATTATAACTGCAGTAGTAGTAATTACTAGGTGTAACTCACTATCACCCACTGGGTCTTCGCCCCCCCCTCCTTACCTGGCGTGTTGAGGGTCTCGCCTCTTCCTCTGCCCTGGCGCCACGGAGCTCCGCCACTTCCCTCTATAGAAAGAATTCACATACACAGGAAGAAATATGGAGAGATAGGGAGTCAGATAAACAGACTAAAATGTTTTACCTCTAGCCTCTCCTTGTCAGCGCGGAGGTCCTCCACCAACTGGCTCCTCCTCACGCAGGCAGGCCAGCTAACCTCCTGGTCCTCATCCACAAGGACAAGTCCGGAGACCAATGGGGGGTCGGGGTTGGATGCCCTCAATATTGCTAGCTCACGCACACATTCTGTTTTGGCTGATTTTCTTAAAAGGGCAATTTTTTTTTCCTTTGTCAATTCTTTGTGTGTTATCATGACATGTTTTCTAACGTGTTGCACCTTAGAAACGCATCCCCTAACGGGGCACGCACCGCCAGGATTGGCCCGCCGTCCGGTCACAAAATGATTAAGTAGGTCCCTCTCCTTACCATTCTTCACATCATGAAACGTCTTAATATGACGGCTAAGGCGGTCTCTTTTAATGCCACACAGAGGGCAAACCCCCGCTACCTTTGTCTTTGTCATCTGAAAAGAAATGTAAAGATTAGTTTTTAAAAATTAGAATTTATAGAAAATCAGGAACTGTAATTAACATTTTCGACTGTGCATCTCCCAATAAACACTTTAATACGTAAACATCAGCCAAACATTGTGTCAAAGGAAGCTTACTATCAAAATGGAGGACAGCACATGTGCTCTGCGCGACACACACATAGAAAAACTCTTTTTTTGCATTAAAACACGACCAAAAACCACAGCAATCATCTCCTAATCCATCATTATTGGCTGAACAACAGCTGTTCAACCCAAAAAATGTGTCAAAGGAAGCTTAAATTATCAAAATGGAGGACAGCACATGTGCTCTGTGCGTGACACACACATAGTAAAAACTATCTTCTTTTTTTTGCATTAAAACACGACCAAAACCACACCAATCATCTCCTATTCCACATAAAGTGTCTATCACAGTGAAAAAGTAAAGACAAAATGCATTTTACTTACCTTAATGGGCGAGGGAGAAGCACAGATAAGAAGGTTGCAGCCGCAAGCCGTTTATATATGGTACCTGGGTTGCCAGATACTATATGGATTTTCCAGCCCAGATTCTCGTCAAAAAACGCATTTTGGTTATATTTCTTTTTCCTTTTTTGTTGTTTAAACTAGGGCTGTCAAAGTTATCCCGTTAACGCTCATGAATAAAATTTTTCATTAATCGCGTTAAAAAAAATTAAAGAAGCTGTGAGATTTTATAACACTTTGAAGCAACTTTTGTTAAAGTTAAACTCATCATTCTATCAATGTGCAGAAGCCAGTACTTTTCCCTTGTTTTGTCTATCTGAAGGCCAAGCTACATGGCACCGTGGAAGCTGCTGATTGGAGGTCTCCATGCCTCCGCTCTGTATAATACACTTGCATTCTGTTGTTCGTGTTGTTCGTGCTGTCTCTACCATCGACAATAAAACATGTCTTCTGTCTGAATTAAAGACGCGATCCCAGACTTTGTCATCTTCTTCAAAGCTATACCCAATTTTTTTTCTAAGTAGTTCATAAAATGCTTTTTACTACATACAAGTTGTATCATAATCCATCCATCCATCCATTTTCTACCCTTTAATCCATTTCTGGGTCAGGGGGGTGGCAGTCAGAGATGCCACCCAAGTCTCATAGCACCAGCCCCTCACTGACCCTCTGCAGGTGGTGAGTCCACAGGAGGACGGCTGCTCTCTGAGTGTGAGCATAGACTTGATCTTTCAGTGGGGGCTTTGGGCAAAGTGGGGTTAAGTGTCTTGCCCAAGGACACAACGACAGCAGTCATCAGCGGGAGTCGATGGAGAAGGTGTAGAGGTGGGAATTGAACCCACGAGCTGTGTAAGAATTACAAGCAGTGAAAAGTGCCGAGTAGAGTCTGAGCGGGACGTTCTCCTCCACTCACAGAACAAGCACTGCGCAGCGGAACACCAGGGCTTCGACTTCAAAATTCGAATATAATTCTAAAATGAAAAATATATATATATTTGAACAAATATTAGACAACTCTTATAATTCAAAATGTATTTAATGACTGCAAATAAAATAGTTAGCTCCCAAAGGTTTCACCGGGACGTGCTAGGCAGGTAACAGCTAAGCTAGCTGTTTCATGGTAACTTCCGGGTTTTTCGCGATCGCTTTTTGTCACATTAAAGCAGTATTTTTGTCATGAAAACGTTAACAGCAAATTCTGAAATCGTCCGTGCATGTGTGTTAAGGATGTATCTGTATACTGTATTGTCCGATTGACGTTTAATGGTGTTGATTGATATGTATTTGTTTATTGAGCGTGGCTAGCTCTGCTAGCTTCTCTACACAGACAAGTGTGCAGAGAAACTGCACAGTGTAGAGACAGGCGCTGATAGCTTGTTGTACTTGCAAAGTAATGTTAGTATTTTACACACCTGAATTACAAACAGAGATTGCATTGGGGCTGCGGTCATTATTGGTTTGAGAGTTCTGTTATCAAGAAAAAATGATCGGAAGAATTGCATTCAAGTCAATGGAGTGCTGCTGCTGTGAGGAGCTGTTAAATAAATTATAATTAAATATTAGAATATATTCTAATGTTTTAAACTAATACATTTGGACGCGAAACTAGCAGTATTCTTTTACTTATATATTGTGTTAGCAGTGCGTTGCTTTAGTGCCATTTCATCAGTGATTGTTGTACGGCACTATCTTAGATCTCGACACCAAGATAGTGCCGATCCACTTAACATTGTATTAAAAGACATGCAAATAGAGCAGGTTCAGGAGGTAAAACTCCTTGGAGTTACTTTCGATGAACGTTTATCTTGGGATAAGCACATTAACACTGTTGTGAAAAAAATGGGTAGAAATATGGCATGTATTAGAAGGTGCTGCTCATTCATGACACCGGCTTCTAGAGTTCTGGTGGTTCAGTCATTGGTCTTGTCTCACCTGGACTACTGCTCTGTGGTGTGGTCAGGTGCAGCTAAGAAACACATGACGAAACTGCAGACAGCACAGAACAAGGCTGCCAGGCTGGCTCTGGGCTGCCCACTCGTGTGGGGACAGAGCTCAGCTGAGCATCATGACCGTCTCTCATGGCTCAGAGTAGAAGATAGACTCAAATGTCATTTAATGACTTTCTTCACAAACATATGCTATAGTCAAAAACCTACTCATTTGTACAACCTTTTACATTATGTGAGAGATCTGCACAACTATCCAACTAGGCAAGCGGCTCAGGGTCATTTGACCCGCCCCAAACCCAGAACAGAAGCCGTGCGTAGGTCGGTCATATTTAGAGCTGTGACTTTATGGAACAAACTGCCACCGGCTGTTAAACAGGCTGAAACAAAGCTTTCTTTTAAAAGACTATTGAAAAGACATTTTCTGATGGAAGCTTAAGTCTGTTTGTGTGTGTATGTCTATAACTTCATATACAGTATATTTAAATTCTTTATATGTACAGTATGTGTGTGTATAACTGAGGAGAGGTTTTGTATGTGAAGTGTTTTTTTTTTTCAATTTAACTGCATGATGTGAATATTGTAATTGCTTGAACCGGACCCCAGGAAGAGTAGCTGTCCATTTGGAGACAGCTAATGGGGATCCAAATAAATAAACAAATAAACAAGAAGTTGCGCTAATGCTAATGTTAGCATACGTATCAGATCGCAAATAAAACTGGCTCCGTGTTATGAGAGCGTAGGGGAAATGAGAAGCCTGTGAGCGAGTTGAGGGGCAGTGCTAATGTAACACCCACAATGTAATTCCCCCATCATTTATCAATATTTTTATCATTATTGTACGTATTATATTTGCCCTTTTCGCTGATTGGCCCTAAGCACAACATCAGGAAGTTAAACGTCCCGGTTGCCCAGGTAACTGTCTGCTCCGCCCCCTCCTCCACTCTCACTGTGTGCTGTGGCAGCTGGCGCTAGGCTACAAACCAATTGCTACAACCTGACGTTGTTTTCCCTAATCAGACCACTCCTAGACATTCTGATTCATCGGTGAGTTTTGCCAAAGTGTTTCTATAATATTTGTAGTGATGGCAATATGAAGCCCCATGAAACCTTGAGGGTTTGCAGCCTATTACTCGGCCCATGAGCCGAAGGCTCGAGGTGAATCATGCTCCACTACGCCATCATGTGGACAAAGAAATGCATAACACTCTTAAGTGCTTACAATGAATGGTGAGATCTAATGTTAAAATGTATATTTACAATCTATGGTCTAACGTGTTGTGTTTGAAATGATGCTTCATGAACTATGAACTATTTGAGTCTTTCAGTCAATTGTGTTGATACAACAAACACATCCAAAGTAATACAGTTCTACAGAAAGTGATTAATGGAGGAAAAACTATCAAGAGGTGGATTAATTAAACACAACAAACCATTTATTCCCAATAAATAAACACATTTACTTTGCAACACAAAATTTATTATGGGTAGACCAGGATTCGAACGCTATATCTTCTACTTCGGAGTCCACACAGCTGTTCAGAAATATATTATCCAGCGTATTATTACTAATAACTTGAAGCCTTGATATATGAGGTTTTACTAAAGTGAAACGTTTTTAATTGTATTTCATATGAAGTAGTTTCTCTATACTTAGTACAGGACTGCTCCACATCACGCACACACACGTACGCACACAGCGGCAGACGGGGACAGCCAATACAGTCTATGGTACAGCCGCGGATCACAAAGCACCTGTCAAAGCAATGCACTCTCCGAACTATATGAACCGTCACGTGGTGCGGCCGCTACGCGAGGCTTCGAACGTCACCACATACGTCACCAACACACGCCTCGAACCACGCTTCAAAAAATACGCCCCCTTTTTACTCGGTACACGCTTCGAAGACCCGGCACGCTCAGCACATCACTAAATATTTGTGCAACTTGCTGTCCGGATCTGTGCTTTTGACCGTTTAAAATGCAGATGTAGTGTGGTTAGCCGCTATGGTTTGCCGTCGTACGGAACTCTGCCGTAAAAGCGTGTGATTTTGTTTTGTAGTTATTATTACTTCATAATGAGAACCCTTTTTGATTGAACTACCTTTTATTAATTAATATGTATATGTTGCCTTGAATTCGGTAGGCACGGATTATACTTTAGTGTTTGAGTTTTGTTTTAAAGTGACTTTGTTTTGAGTTAGCAGCACATTGTCATTGTTAAAGCCCATCCTAGCGCAGCTGTTAATTTGATTAGCTATAGCTATTTGATTTTGAACTATTGACTGTACAACTTTGAAAGATGTGATTTAGGTGCCGTTTTTTTGGTACTGCTTTGTGTTTTGACATGTTACCGGTAACTGAATTTGATTATGACCTCGTTTTCAGGCCAGGTTTTTTGTTCATCCCTGGATCATGGACTGATCCTCTCTGGACTGACTCTTCACTGACTATCCCATGAACTG